GGACTTTGAGATTTGTAACTTTCTAGATCTTTTTTATGCCCAAACATACACACTACACACTGACTAAAATTAAAAAAGTGAAAAAGCATAATAGGACCCCTTTAATGCACATGACTTGGTAGGCCAGTAAACAAACAACAACAAAGGGCTTTGTTTTTATTAAGGTCTTAATACTGTAGCACGGCCACATAAGAGGGATATATTTATAAAGCTGTTGATTAAATACTAATTTGATTGTTGATGTGTCACAGCTGTTATTGATGTATCTTTGTTTGTATTGCCCCATCGAGTGTGGTGGCTTCTCGCGATTCTCGCGAGAGTTCGCTCGCAACGCGCCAGGGAATCCCCGTGACGTCACATCGATCAGAACATCCGATACGTCCGATAAAAGAAGCCGGTTAGCGGCGTTCATGAGCTACGCTCAATGTGCTCACTTGGATACACTACGATCGTCTCCTACATGCTGCTGTTATACAGCCCTGAAAGACAGCGGAGACCAGGACAACTAGATGAGCCCCAGATACAGATCCCCGGTAAAGACCTTGTCTCAGACAACCACCAGGACAAGACCACAGGAATCAGATTAGTCCTCTGCACAATGTGACTTTGCTGCAGCCTGATTAAGAGGTAAACAGAACAACTTCTATTTGTGTAGCCTGCCTTATTTAGGCTGAGTGTTACAAAGTAACACTAACACTGCTCAGTGCTGTCTGTCGGCGTGTTGTCAGTTTGCTCTTTACTCCATGATGTATTTTTTACTGCATGAGAACATGATGTGTAGTGTGAGAGCGGCATTAGTTTGTTGGACATAGCAACAGTAACTAAGGAGGGTGGGTTTTTGCAAACAGTCAATTGCGTTACTCTACTTAACTTTAGGTCGTGCACATCCGCCATGTTGCTTTTTTTGTAGTTTTTATGTAGTTTTTTCATGTATGTAGTTCTGAACTGAATCCTTCACTAAAAAAAGCAATGAATCGTGGACAATATTAGCCATAAAGCTGATGATACACGGGGCAACTTTTTGAGCAATTTTGTTGGGCAACTTTTGTTGAGCAATGTTGCTTGTGTACTTTCCCACTGAGAATGGGTAACAAATTTCTATCTGGATACTTTAGATCAGTTGTGGGCCTTGTGTCTCACCTGTGGTGTATTCCAGAAAGGAGGTTCAACAAACTCAGAGTGAAAACTTGAACTCTGGGTTAACAAACCCCAAAATAGGAAACTCTGAGTTTACAGTTTCAGAACAGCTGAACAGCGTTAGTTCAATCCACTCTGAGTATGTTGACTCTGAGTTTAGCGCATTAGAGTTAGTTCAATCCACTCTGAGTATGTTGACTCTGAGTTTAGCGCGTTCACCACGACTTTGAAAAGTCATGATCAATGGAGCTCCGAAATTACGATTCACCATGGCAACACAGACAAGAAGACTTCCGCATACTACGCAATACATAACTTTAAATCTTAATCACTGTTATAATATCAGAGATGAAAACCGGCAGAACGGTAAGTTATTTAAGTAATCTTAATTTTATGGTAAAAAAAACTGGCAGCACAAAAAATTAAACATAAAAACATGATTCAATCAGGCAAAGCTTCAAGTATAAAAGGTTCATGGGTGTAGGCTACATGACTTTACAAACATTTGACATATTCAATAAATATCATATCAGTAAAAGCATTTTTGCAGCATTAATGAATGAATGAGGTATTTAAACATTGCTTACACTTGAGGTATTTAAACATTGCTTACGCTTTAAAAAGGGGGAGGAGACCCAAAGAAACTCTGGTTTTACCAAAGAAAACCTGCTCCTGACCAGGGGTGCGTTTCCCGTACAACTACTATCTCACTGATTAACCACCATAGTACGATGTATCGTTGTGGAAACGAACTAGCTAGCCACGACTGTTTCCCTAAACCATGGTACCTGTGTCGCAGATCCATCGTTTAAACCACGTTGGTTTGAGCTGTCCTTATGAAGTTGTTCTTCTTCTTCGATCTAATAGCCGACTGGTGCCATGAGCACATACCGCCACCTACAGTAATTTGGTTTTATTTTTTATTTTCTTCAACTCGAATTAAATAGCCTACGCTTTTGAAATGACATTACGTAGGAGTGGAGTAATAACGCAACATTCATTTATTCCACAATAAATTATATACATATACACACACAGAGTTAAAAATGTGCTCTTTTCTGATCCCAATGTCTGTCATTTCACAATTTCATATAAATACCATTTCTTATTTAATATTGATTCTTAAGCACAATTGAAAAAAGATGGGTTTTTAAAAAACTGTGATGTACTGTTGTGGACACCTGTTGCTTATTTTGCTCAATAATTTTTCCTATTTAAGTCCCCTTGCCATTCAGCCATGTGTTAATGAAAATGACACGAAAACCCCAATTTTCACAGCATGAAATTGCAGTTCTTTTGGAGAAGGTGGAAATAATAAAATCCAGCTATTTTAAAAGCTGAAAAACAGCATTACAAATGCTGACAAAAAGAAAATCTGGGCAGAAATCACTCAAAAATTAAATGCTGCTGGCTATGGGTATGCACAAAGCCCAGAAGAAGTCAGGAATAAGTGGAGGGACTTCGCAAGTGTGACAAAACGGAGGGCTGTGGCACGTAAGAGGGAAGCAAACAAGACTGGTGGGGAAATCAATTCAGTTCCTCCTCTCACTACAGAGGAAGAGAAAGTTTTGGCCATCCTGGGGCCTGAAGCATTGGAAGGGATCCTTGGAGGTATAGATGCATGTGCATCAACCAGGCCTTTGCCTTCAAAGTTCAGGCCTCCAACATCAGGCCCTCTCCAGTCTGGCCCTTCAACATCAGGCCTTCTCCAGCCTGGGCCTTCAAAATCACCAAAGGGTCCTTGTCTATTGCTCTCTTCCCCTGATTCACCTCCGTCTGAGGCCTCCTCATGTGCTGAGCAACGTCCTCTGACACAGAAGGCAATGCAGAAGTCAGGCAGTGTATATAAATGCCTGCATAGGGACACATTTTACCCCCCTTGACTCACTATCTGATGATGCCATCTTAAGAAAATTACGGCTTCCAAGGGCCAAGATCCTTGAACTACTACAGGTTGTGAAACCACATCTTCAGAGGGCAACAAGAAGAAACAACGCCTTAAGTTCAGCGGTGCAGTTGTTAGCTACACTGCATTATTATGCTGTTGGAAGTTTTATAGAGGTGGTGGGTGATGGCCTGGGGCTCAGCAAATCTTCAGTCAGCAAAACTGTGACAGCAGTAACACCTTTGCTGTTACAGCTTATGAAGAACATCCTGATTTCCCCCCAAACTCCTGAAGAAATCCAGCTGGCCAATCAACAGTTCTACAGTATTGACAACATCCCCAGAGTGATTGGCATCATCGATGGCACCCTTATCCCAGTGTCAAGCCCTGTGGTAAATGAGCCCTTGTACATTTGCAGGAAGGGCTATCCAGCCATTAATGTTCAAATAGTGTGTGATCACCAAGGGATGTTCACTGACATTGTGGCAAAATGGCCTGGAAGCACACATGACTCTTTTGTGTGGGCCAATTCTGCAGTTTGCCAGGTGGCTAAAGAGGGTGGCTTTGGTGATAGCTGGCTGCTGGGAGACAGTGGATATCCTCTTCGCCCATACCTCCTGACACCTGTGCAGCATCCAGCCACCATTGCAGTTTAAACCATTTGTTTAATCTGACATAACTTCTGTTAAATATTTTGTTTATTTGCCAATATGCCCC